CGCGGCGTATGTAGTGTCGGCGTTCTGCCTGCTCCTGCTGGGCGGGCAGAGCGCGCTGGCCTGGAACGACCTGTGCAGAGAAGCCATCGGTGAGTGCGCGCCAGCGCCAAGTCACGGTGTGCAGAGTCGACCGCGATGAGTGCCATTACCATGGACCGCTTGAGGAGGCTCAAGGTGATTCTGCATGGACACGATCTCGTGGACTACACCTGGTGGGCGGCAGAGGTGCAGAGGCGCATCCCGGAGTCGGCGCCCCTGCACAAGCAAATCCAGAACGACGAGACGTGCGCCGCGTTCGACTCGAGCTGCCCCAACGGCGTCTGCTTGATACAGGGCGCCAAGTTCTTCTTCGCCAAGCTGATGAACAGCGGCTACCAAGTGTCGACGATGCCCAACAAGTTTGAGCTGCCGCCCTTCAAGTACCCCAAGGAGGTCAGCTTTTCCGCCTCGGACAGCCTCAAGTACCTGGTCGTGCTCCTGGCGGATATGCACTACCCCTTCAACGTCGACCTCAAGGAGCCCTACTCCAGGGGCCAGAAGAAAGGTGGGTTGGGCGGCCGGAGGGCGCGTTAGTCACAGTTACTGGGCTTCTGGCACGTTGTGACGTATCTTGATCATGGCTCAGTGAATGTGTCGGAGTACCCAATGTGGGAGTCGCTGTGCAAGGAGGCGCTGGGCCACACGAACCCGACGTTCGAGGAGTTCGTCTCCAAGGTGTACATGCCTCACTACATCCACACCAACGTGGACTCGTGGTACGGCGCGTGGACGAACGTGGAGGTGCTCGGGTCGCGCTACAAGGTCGAACAGGAGGCCTTCAACCGCAACACGTGGGACAACTTCGAAATCTGGGCCACCGAGACCGCGCACCTCAACTGCTCCACGCTCATCACCCGGAACGACCACAGGGGGGACCTCAACACAGTCGAGCTCTCGGACCCGTTGTTGGAGAGGCTGGGGATGCTGATTCGGTTTCAGATCGTCCTCGCCGGTGCCCGCATCGCAATCGTGCTCAACTACATTCTCTCCCACAGAGAAATCAAGTACTGCGAGAAGACCGGACTGCTCATAGGTAAGCGGCGCAGGCGGCGGTGTCACGCGGCGCAGTGCAAAACCCCAAGGACAAGTGGACGGCTGACGACTACAAGTTTGCCGCGCTCATGGTCTTCTTCGCCTGCATCGGTCTGGTTAGTACCTCCGCGGAAGCACTTTCAGAACGTTTCAGGCCTGCGCGTACTGCATCGCCAGAGGTATCAGGCACGCGTACCGCACTACTTTCAAGGGGCGCGTCGAAACGGCTCTTCACAACTGGAGGGAGCGCCGCAAGAACAAGTACAAGCCGCACCTCGACGTCCACGACAACTAATGATCACACATAGACACCTCTGAATTTTAACTTTTACTGGGGGTCCCGGCCGATGGCGGAGCCTTCGGACGTTGCCGCCGAGCTTCGGGCGACCATGGGCGCCTTGGACCGGGTGATGACCAGGGCCGAGGTCGAGGCGATGGCCACCGTGAGCTCCGCCTACGTCGGCTGCAGCGCTGAGAGCGGCCCTGTGATGCAGTATATCGGCGCCGGCTACTACGCTAAGCGGGCGCCGCTGGTGGTAAAGGGCGCCCTCGAGAGGCAACTGGCGAAGGCAACAGCCGACGCGGCGGCTGAAAAGCAGGAGCCAGAGGCCAAGGAGAAGACGGCACCGCCGCCGGTACGTCATAGCATGCGTGCGCAGCCATGTACAACTACTCAGGAAAGCGATACCATCGAGATCATTGAGCGATATGATTCAAGCGACGAGTGATGCCGCGTCGCACCAACACGGCCCCCTCGCGCGCTACCGGGGCTAGGTCTTCGGGTTATTGTGCGGAGACTTCTTCAGACCCAGCTTCGACACAATCGCTGCAAGCGGGTTTGGATGGTTCCTGCTGATGCCGGAGCTCGAAGGCGACTCCCCTCCCGACCGCGTCACGACTTGGGTGAAGGAAGGCAGGTTGGCGGTCGATATGGCCTGCTGCGCGAGGATGAAGGTGTCCAGGCAGCCTCGCGAAAGCGTGATGCGATACGCCTGGTTTACGATGATGCGCCCGACGCGGATGTCGTCCTTGCTGTCGGCGTCCTTTATGTGCTTCAGGAAGCCCATTATGCCCTCGAACTTGAGCTGCTTCATCTGCGGGGCGAGCAAGTACAGCAGCCCCAGCGCGACCGCCAATACGCTCGACAGTCCGTTGTACAGCATGTAGTCCCAGAGTGCCACCACGGTCCTCAGAGGGAGGATGACCACGAACATGGTAAGAAACCTGCGCACATGGAAAAGCTGCTGGCTAGTCCTACCACTGGTGGAGGAACACGGCGACTGAGATTTCCTCGCTCTGAAAATGCCGATGCAGGTCTGGCCACATGTCCTCGGTCAGCGCCTCGAAGGCTGCAACAGGGCTGCATAACACCTCGCACGCGCACTCACCCTGAATGTACTTCTGGATCAGCGGGAAGCTTGGCAGGTAGAACTCGGCCAGTCCAAACTCTTTCATGAGGCCGACGAAACCGATGTAGGTCTCGACCTCGTTGAAACCGCTAACCAGGAGAAGCATCCCTGAGATTAAATCATGGTGTTGTCGATACCCAAATAACATGTACACACCACTCTGGCTGTGTAAAACGTAGAAGCATGTCACAGTGCGTTGGTGACGTACCAGCGACGAAGTTCATGCCTTGGCAATAGCCAACCTCCGGGTGGTAGTTGGCGTAGGCGACCTGAGGGCTGTCGGGGAAAAGTGCACCGGTACACTTACCAAAATGCGCGAAAGCTGCTGCTGCGCGTCAACATCGAAGATTTTGAGTTCGGGAAACGTTCTGGACGACCATGGAGCGCAGCCAACGAAGGGGAAGCATACCTGGGTACGTCGATTTGAATGATGGACGCGTATTCATTCGGTTGAGACGAAACAGTCTCGTAATTCGACGCAAGCATAGCGGCATATCGTTCAAATTTCAAAGCCACTTTCCAGCTTTCCCATCTAAATTTCTGGGGGATGCCCCTGCAAATATATCAGACTGGTCGACACATAGGCAGCGTCACACACATACTAACAAACCAATGAGGCAAGTGAAATACCAGCAAACGTAATTTGTAATCATATATGTGAGACTGAGACATGTAAGACTTCAGGTGAAAACAATACCGCGCCAGAATCATAAACACACGGAATACTGGTCATCGACAACATCACAATATAACGTTAGTCGCATTAGGCTATGCAACTGATGGGATAAAGCAGCCACTCACCTGTTCGTCCTCCTTACAAAAGTGTTCCAATGCGACTTGGCGAAAAAGGCGAGGCCCCGGTTTTTCATAGAAATCCATTTTTCCTCTCTTAACGCACTCTGCGGCTCCCCGATACTCTGCGAAACGTCGGAAACCGGTACAGCCAACCTACCAGCAGTTCGCTGATGAAGTCGCTCTTTGACGAAGAAGAGGTATGTTCGCCGCCTAACACATCTTGCTCCATGGTTGCAAAATCCACCCTAAATATCACTAACAAAATCCACCCTAAATATCCCTAACAAAATCCGCGTACTACGTGGCCATCGACCATTTCGTTGTACACCCAGAGTTATATGAAACCGGCGAAGCGTACGAAAGCGTAGAAACCGCCGTAACGACGCTATACAAATTTGAAGATGAAAAAAATCGCTTATATTAAAAAATTTACAAATTAGTAACTGGTTTAATTTTGCGAGAGAGTTTGCCGGTTATGTGCCGCCGTACGATGCGTGGATTCCTGAGCAGAGTTGCGCGACGTAGTGGTGGCCATTTCTGGTGCTTCACCGCGCAGTAACAAGGAATCTTCAAATGTAGATGTGAACACCATAAACGCAGTGTGTTAATTTAAAAAAAGCCCGCTGCAATCGGCAGCAGCCTATCGCTTGCGTGTGGATGGCGCGGCGCGCCCCGCACTGAAGCGTGGCTTAAGTTGCCTACACGTACTTTGGTTCGTTTCAATTGTGTTTCAGGCGTCGTGATGCAACGTCTGCACGATTTGTTGATCGGCGCTGCCGGAACAGTGCTGCCTAACACGGGCTTCGAGTTCGGGGAGAAGGGTGCCTTATCCCCAGCCGGCTTCATGGCAGCTGGCGATGCAATCATTGCCAGTGATGCAAGATGGCATTGGTTAGTGGCGTCCGGTCGGTTGTTAATCACAGTAGGGTATCCGACCACACCGGCGCCTCAATGGAGTGCCTTGTCGCCGATAAGCAGTACCTCCGCGCATACGACGTTCCATGCCTGCGGTTGCGCAGAATTGTGGGTAACATTGAGCTCGTGCGAAAGCTGAGTAGGTGACGCGTACGGAGCATACATGGACTGTTTGCGACGGTGTTGGTGAGGTCGGTGTTATTTTGGTTACTGCTTACTCTGATCTAGGACACCCTTGCTGCGTCCGAGGAAGCAGATGTTTGTTGTGCTTTAGCTGTTTATAGATCCGGCAGAGTGGATCTGATGACTTGTACGACCATGGAACGGCGGCTAAGCCGCAGCGTCTATATGATATAAGCATCACCTACGACCGCTACTACGAAACGCCGCGAATATGGCTCGTTGGTTTCAACGCGGTAAGGGCAGCTGTGTTTTCACTACAATGTCGCAGTTCGGGCTCGCGCTGCCTCAGGACGAGATGCTGCAGGACGTGCCCCCTGCGTACGCGGGCAAGACTGTGACCATAGCGCGTCACCCGTACACGGGGAAGCTCAACATGACGGTGCATCCGTGCTACCAGATGGAGGCCATTCACAGGCAACACCATAGCGAAGAGACGTACAGGTAAGTCCAGGGGAACTTGCACAGACGGGCACAGATCCGAGAACGCAATAGCATTTGCACTGGAAATATGGGCTTCGGTGCTGCCCACATTTTGTCTCGTCGAAAACGATAGAAAGAACGAGGAAGCAGTTCTATCAGACGATAATCTGTACTCATGACGTAAATAATTAAAAATCAAATATAATGCGACAGCTGCAGGATTCGAACCTGCGCGGGAGAATCCCAACAGATTTCTAGTCTGTCGCCTTAACCACTCGGCCAAGCTGCCTTGTACAGGGGGCCAATGTCGGTTTGAATTTCATATATAGCCTTCTGGAAATATTGCCATAAGAAGATTCATAGTAGTTCATTTTACATTTATAAGAACAAAGTAGCGATGTGGTGCAATTATCACGTGCTAGCACGGTTCTGCGTGAATGTCAACTGAGTCGACATGTTACACATCGGCATGTTCGAATGCCTCGTTTTCGTTCTTTAATTCCACAAATATGAGCCGTTGATGTTCATAGAAATATAATCAAAAATACAACAAGACAATACGTTCGACAGCTGCAGGATTTGAACCTGCGCGGGCGAACCCAACAGATTTCGAGTCTGTCGCCTTAACCACTCGGCCAAGCTGCCTTGATTTTGTGCGCCAAATTTATGGTTTATAAACCTGATTCAGGTGCCTATTACACGGACAACGTATTCCCGGCGTTCGTCGGATGGCACAGCGTCCTTCCCGAAGGATATGTTGGCGTGCTGCGGAGCCGACACGTAGAACGGAGCGGAGATGCTCACGCCGTAGAAGCACAAAACGTGGTTGCTGTCGCGCAGAGCAATCACCGGGAGCTCGTCACGCAGCACCGGCGGAAAGTTCATCCTCGCAAGAACCGATGAAGCCTTGCGGTTCCATAGCGAATCGCACGGCACGATGTCGTCGTCGCGCAGCTGGCGAATGTCAAACTCAGCAGGCCTCCCGCCAATACCCTCGCTGGGCACGGAGAGCCGGAGGTGGAAGCCGGACTCCACAGCGGAGCGTGAAAGCCTGAGTCGCATGTGTGACAGTCACAAAGTGCCTACGGTGATATATGGGCGGTGAAGTTGTCAAACACGCGGAAGCTGCAGTAGCCGTCGTCGTATACCGCGGGGTCGTCGGCCAACGTCCTGAAGGTGGTGGCTGTATGCGAGCTGATAAATGCACAATAAGCGACTAACTGCGGTGGACTTTCACGAGGCTACCCTGGTGGCAAATTGCCCTGCCTGCGTGCAGAAAGTGCATCTTTAGCACGTCGGAGACTGGCTCACTGCTCCATGAGGCGCTCAAACGCTCCAGGAGACTGTGGTCCAGAAGAACCTCCTTGCCAGCGGCACGCAGGCAGAACTTGTACAGAATGTCCTTGCGAGTCAACTCGCTCGGCACCAGGAGCCATTCCTTGATCAGCAACACCTCCTTGGTGTTGAAGCCGACGCCACGCAGGAATTGAAGCGTCCGAATGTACTTGCGGGTCTTCTCGCAGACGCGGTCGCCGTAGGTGACGGAGGACATGCGTTTATAAAAATCTCCGTATGAGCTAACCAGCCAGTTGATGCGATTGCCGCCTCGTTCAACGGCGGTAGTCGCCTCCTGAGGTGGCGCAACGAAGTTGGGCAGACCGTACTTGGAGGAGACGTAATGACTGAAGGCGTATGTCTCTATGTCCAGCGAACTCCGCAGTTCCCGACTTTGCGCCGCCAGGGTGCGGATGCGCTTGTTTAGGGTTTTCAGCGTAACCTCGGGCGGGTTGTCTGGAGACATGGCCTTGAGCAGCTCGGGCACTACGGAGTTACGAATGCGATTGCGCAGATACTTGGAATCGGCGTTGGAAGAATCTTCGTTGAACGTGCCTCCCACCCTCTATGTACAGTGGCACGATGTAAGAACGACGATGACTCACCTCTAAAAAGGAACGCAGGTCTTGTTTGGTGAGATGCACGAAAGGCCTGACGAGCACGATGTCCTTGTCGCTGTCCAGGTAACTGACGTGCTCGATTCCCCTGTATGGAGATTGAAGCGAGGGCAGTGAAATGGGGACCTACATTAGGTTGCTCACGTGCACGCCGCGCAATAATTTGAAGAGGAAGGTCTCCACGCTGTCGTTGGCGTGATGAGCAAGCAAAACGATGCCACGCGTGCCACGGTGGAAGTATGAGCGATGAGTGCTGCGGTCCACCAGGCCGTCGCTCTCTTGCGTGAGGACGTGCCGATTGAAGATACGGACGGCTTCGGCACTCTCGTCGCTGCTCTTGCTCGTGGCGGGGTGCGCCTTCGGCGGTGGCAACTCCTCAATGAGGCGCTTATATGCTCCCCGGCGCCAGTCACGTGCGGCTTTCTGGAAGTTGCCTGTGCCGTCGTCGTGCCCCAAATCCACCACTAGCCCCGCTGCAGCTTCCACAATAAAGTCGAAGCCGTACAGGTCGCATGCGGCACGGACCACCTCAATGTCCGTGGAAGTGTCGTCGCGAGCGCGGTGGTCGAAGTACACGACATGGACGTTCTCGAGCAGCCGACGCACCGTCTCGTATACCTGCGCACTCTCATCCTCGCGTTTGGCATTCAGTAAGCGACGCCACGCACTGCATTTGACCAGGGAAGTCGCGTGCTTCTTGATCAGGCCCAGGGCATGTAGCATCGCCATGGAATCCTGCCCGCCGCTGCAGCTCAGCAAGATGGGCAAGTTCGCGGACGTGCGATTTCGAGCCCAAGGGTGGCAGATAGGCACCAGGTATTCGCCCACAACGTCCCATAGTGCCTTCAATGGGGGATGAACGACGAGTTGAGAAGTAGAATCGTCCCTTCTATTGGCTTCGCTTGCGACGTCTCTGCCAAGAACAGAGTACTGGCGTTTCACCGCGTGACTAGGTCGCTGAGGATGGCGCGGTAGCCTGAAGGAAGACGATATGTCTACGATAATCGCCAGCAGGCAAACCAGGAGTCTCCCAAGACGCGGCCATTGGCTCATATCGAAGCGTCGCCACTCATACAGTGGCACATTGCGTGCCACGCTAATGTTTTCAGCCCGCAGACACGTATGAGGATACAAATGCTGTTGTACTTATCTAAAATTGAGTCTGGTTGGAAATTAAATGTGTAATGATGCTAATCAAACTGGACAGGTTTGTCTTTTTAAAATCTGCAGTGTGCTGGAGAGCAACGGGAACTTCACAACGAAAAGGTCGGATAACGTAGCAGGAATAATTACTATTTATCTGCGGTAGCTGAGTTGTGCGACGTCGGAGTGCCGCAAGAGCGGGAAAGCGGTACACATGTTACGGAAGAAACCACAGCAACGAAGTACCGGAATGGCCGCGGTAAAGAGATGGTATGATGGTGATGACGAATGTCGAATGAAGTTGAAACGGTGCCTTTGCTATGAAGTGTGCTGCTGCAATGAATTCGAGTCGTCGGATGAACTGTAACCCGGTGTGTGAATATCCCCTTCGAATAATACCACATCAACGCCCCCCAAGAGAGTTAGATAACCGGAATCCTCTGTTATTAGTAATACTCTGTCATTGAATGGTATGAATGGTACCACCAATATCGTTCTAGACTCCACCGAACGTCAATAAACCTTGAGCAGCGGTGTGTATGTCCGCGTTGTCGGTTGAGTTGACTCCACGTCAGACCGACAACGTCCCTTATGGGTGACGGATAGGGGCTGTCGGTGAACGTATAAGGCATCCGAGTGTCAACAGCAAGGCATCCGGCGCGACTTGTTGTTGGCCCTTCTCCGGGAAACGCGAAGAAACACGGAGGAGCACAGGTCGCTCGAAGCCGTGTCGGAAATGAATGCCGTACCTGAATAATGTAGGATAGAGGTGAGTGGGGATGAGAAACTTGGCAGCCTAAGTCCCCATGGATCTAAATGTCGGCACGAGCTTCTCGATGCCTACATCGCAAAAATCACCCCTCAAAGCAAACCACCGATACACGCGAGATGACTTCAAGTGCATCTGCATGCTTATCGCGCTGTACATTGTGCAGGGGATGCCGCTCGGGGTTCGGGCAGCGCTCCCCCTTGTCATATATGACAAAGCGTCGTACTCGCAGATGGCATACCTCTCATGCACGGTGCTGCCGTTCTGCATAAAGCTACTCTGGGCGCCAGTAGTAGACGCGCTGTACATAAAACGTGTGGGGAAACGAAAGTCGTGGATTATTCCGATGCAGCTCATGTGCGCGTTATTGCTCTTCTACGGAAGCGCGAAAAACAAAATCGATAGGTGGGCGGGATGCCACGGGGAGTCGGTGAACATGGTGGCGCTGGTAGTATACTTCACGGCGCTGCACCTGCTCATGGCTACGCAGGACATCGTGGTAGATGGGTGGGCCCTCACCATGCTGCGCCGGGATATGCGAGAGCACGCGTCCACGTGCAACGCCGTCGGGCAGTCCATCGGCATGAACATCGCGTACGTGGGCTTTACGACCCTCAGCACGGTGAAGGTGAGCGTCAAGCTGTACCGAGCCTGGATCTGGCTATCGGCGTGCTTCGGCGTGCACAGGCCGGCGCTCAGCCACGAGGAAGAGGCGACATTCCAGCCCTACGCCACCATATCGGATTTCACGTGGTTCTTTGGTCTCTTCACCTTGCTGGTTACCTTTGTGGTGATGTTTAAAAGGGAGGGTAATGAGGGCGACGAGCCCACACTCAAGGAGTTGCCTGGAGTGACGGAGCTAAGAATCAGGGACGACCCGAATCGGCGTAAGCTGGCAGAGATAAGGCGAAGTTATGCGCAGCTGCTTGAGGTTAGTTGATGAGTGGATGGTTATCTAGGGTGTAGGTGGTGAAGATCAAGCCGGTCAGACTGTTGGGCGTGGCGCTGCTCACCTGCAATTTCTTCTACGCAGCTGAAAATCCAGCTGAACTGAAGCTGCTCGAAAAGGGCGTACCGATGGACATTTTCGCGATGATAACGCCGATAATGATACCATTGCAAATCATAGGGCCCCCATTCGTAGGTTCACGTGAGTCCGTAGCACCTGCATCCCGTGGCAGATCACCATGGCCATACGGAATTCAAGCACGGCGGAAGTCATCTATAAGGGGCTGAAAGTCCACCTGGTCGCCATGGCGCTGTGTATAGGTGAGGTCGTCGACTGGAGGACTAATTTTGCGCAGTGCTGGTTTACGTTGCGGGGATGTTCTATGCCCAGCAGTCGTACCACTGGTTCGAAAGCGCTCTGTTTTACGCCATTTTTTTCGGCATTTCGCTGTTTCGGAAAATATGCGCTCTTGTTGTG